CCCTCCTCTCTATCAGCTTCTTCTTCATCTGCTTTTGCTGCCTCACAGTCCTCCACCCGGCCTGTCAGTTTCCTCGGTGCTCAGCTTTAGACCCTCTTTTCCCTTCTCAAGTCTGTTCTCTTTCTCCAAGGGTTGTGCATCCCCACTGACAGCTTCCAGCTTCTACCTTATTCAGCGGCTCACAAGTGAACAGACCTTCCCCTGAGCACCGGACCTGTATATTTGACTGTTCACTCGAATTCTCTACCTGAATGCATTAAGGCACTTTGAACTCAGCATGTCTAAAATGACACTTACGCTCTTTCCTTACAGAACTGGTGTTTTCTTGGTGTTCTTTCTCTGTGAATTCCACTGCCATCCGCCCAGCTGTGCAAGTGAGAAACCCAGGCATCATCTTCAACAGCTCACTCCCCTTGGCTCTCACACCATCCCGACATGAGGTCCTGTTGATTTTGCCTCACAAATACATCCCTTCCTGTCCATCTCTCCCACCGTTGCTCTAGTCAGTGCGGCACCCCCTTCTGTCTGGACCACTGCAGCCTCCCACTGGACTCCCTAGATGCATTCTTGCCTTCCTCCAAAGTGCTGTGCACATTGCAGCCAGCACATTGATTTTTAAAACACAAATATAATGTTGACACACCATCCCACTCCCTTCCCCCAAACAAAACAAAATTGCTCTTCAAGGCTTCCCACTGCTCTCAGGATAAAATCACAACACCTAACCTGCTTTACAGAGAGCCCTCATCTCCAGGCTCGTCTCAAACAGCCCTTCCCCTCCCGGAGCACTCCAGCCGCACTCGCCTTCTTTCAGATTGCTTTTCTGCTTCTGCATGCTGCTTCCTCCGCCTGACCATCCCTTTGACTCCCTATACTTTCTTATCTCACCTTGTCACATATACTGTTACCTCTTAACTCATCTTGCTGATTTCAACTCAAGTGCAATTTGCCTCACTGACCCCATCTCCACATTGCACTATGTACTTCTCCCAAGCCCTGAACACAGTCTTAATTACAGATCTATGTGACTGTTTTATTATAATCTATTTCTTCTATAAGCTCCAGGATAGTAGGTACTGTGTCTTCTTTTGCTCCCATTGTATCCCTAGTACCTCATGTAGAGCCTGGCACATCAAATATTCTCAATATTAGATGAATGGATAAGTGCACTAATAACGTTGAAGGCATAGACGAAGCGTTTGTGTAGTGAGAGAAGAGGTCCTATGATGGAACTTGGTGAACACAGTGTTTCAAGAGGAAGGCAGAAAAACCATGTTTAGGGAAGGAGAAAAAGAAAGGAATGACCATAGAGGTGGCATCAGCCAAGGGAGCCAAGAGTTGTGAGAAAGCAGTAGTAGTCCTGGGCCCCAGACCTTGTAAGAACTGAGAGCTAATCCTCCTGACCTGGCAGTAATGAGATGATTTTTAATGGTCCCTTAGGATAACAGAGCAGGCAGAAGCTGGTTTATAGGGCAGAATGGGAGGTGACGACACAGAATCATCGGAGGGGCCTTCTCTTTCACCAAATCTGTGGTTGAAGGAAAGGGTAGAGGAAAGATAGTCTTCCACTTGACATTTCTGTGGTACTTGGCACCTGTTCATGGCTCCTTCTTCCTTTAAAGTGGGGCTGGAGGGGTGGTAGACAGAGAAAAAGGTACTTCAAGGATGAGAGCCTTGAGAAAGATAAAGCAATGCCCATGAATAAATCAAGGTCCCCGGGGGAGATGAAAGAGATGAGCTCAAGGACGTGGGTGGACAGTGAGCCAGAAGATTCTCTGTTGTTGGACGCATTTACATTAGGGATTGATACGCCTTCCTGGGGTAGTGACCCCTTTATCATTACGTAGTGTCTCTCTTTATCCCTGATAACTTTCCTTGCTCTGAAGTCTGCTTTAAAATTTAGTTACTCCCGCTTTCTTTCGATGAGTGTTAGCATGGTATACCTTTCTCTCGCCCTTTATGTCAATAACAAAACATTCCTAATTCCTCCCTCCTGTCCCTTGCATCACTGCTGCCATTCATTTCACTTATACTTAAGCATGTACAATCAAATACATTGTTGCTATGATTGTTTTGAACAAACTGCTATCTGTTAGAGCAATTAAGAATAAGAAAAATAAAAGTTTTTATCTTACTTTCGCTTATACATTCTCTTCTTTACGTAGATCTGAATTTCAGACCTATATTCTCTCCCTTCTCTCTAAAGAGCTTCTTTTAACATTTCTTGCAAGGCAGATCTGCTGGCAACAAATCTCCTCAATTTTGGTTTGTCTGAGAAAGTCTTTATTTCTCCATCACTATAGAAAAGCAATTTTTTCCTCGGGCTTCTTTCAAGATCTTTCCCCTTTATCTTTTACTGCAGTTTGAATAGGATATGGCTAGGTGTAATTTTTAAAAATATATTTATCCTACTTAGTGTTCTCTGAGCTTCCTCTATCTGTGGCTTGGTATCTGACGCTAATTTGGGAGAAATTCTCAGTTATTATTGCTTCAAATATTTCTTCCATTCCTTTCTTCTCCTTCCAGTAATCCCATTACAGGCATATTACACCTTTTGTCACTGTCCCACAGTTTTGAATATCCTGTTCTTTTTTTATTCAGCCTTTTTTTCTCTTTGCCTTTCAGTTTTGGAAGTTTCTATTGTCATGTCCTCACCCTCAGAGGTTCTTTCCTCAGCCATGTCCAGTCTATTCAAGAGCCCATCAAAGGCACTCATTTCTGTTACAGTGTTTTTGATCTTTAGCATTTCTTTTTGATACTTTTTAGAATTTCCATCTCTCTGCTTACATTACCCATACATTCTTGTATGTTGTCTACTTTTTCCATCTAAGCCTTTAGCATATTAATCAAATTTAAAAAAAAAACAACTCCTTTTCAGATAAAAGTTGAACATTCCTGCCATATCTGACTCTTGCTCTGATGCTTGTTCTATCTCTTCAAACTGTGTTTTTACTTTTTAATATGTCTTGTAATTTTTTGGTTGAAAGCTGGGCACAATGTACTCTGTAAAAGGAACTGCATGCAGTAAGCAAACTTCGTAATGCAGTGGCAAGGTGTGAGGGGGGGACGGGAGGTGTTCTCTGAAATGCATGTAGTTCTATGATTAGGTCTTGGTCTTCTGGTGAGCCTGTGCCCTTGAGCTGTAAACTTCACCAGCACTTCTTAGGTGTTTTCCCCCTTTGGTGGGGGCAGAACAGCGGGAGGTGGTGGGAGGTGGCATTTCCCTTCCCCTAGTCGTTAGGCTCTGCTAAAGCCCCAGCAGGTACGGTTCCGGTAAAACAGTTTCTCTGGAGAGCAGACCTTGTTAAGAAGAACACAGTGCTCTGGGTATTTCAAAATGGTTCCTTTCTCCCTCCCCCGGCCAGAAGCACAAGGAGATTTTTCTCTGATACCCACTGTGGGAACCTGGTCAAGTTCCAGGAAGCAAAACTCACAGAAGTGTGGGGACCTTTCTAACCGGGTCCCCCTGGAGTTTTGAACTCTCAGGCCTGCCCACACTGAGCCTCCAGCAATTTGTCGATTACAGTTTGGGCCGGTGGGTTTCTGTCCCGCTAAGTTGTGATTCTCTGACTCTACCTGCCTGTCTTGCCGATTTTGGGTATAGGGGTTTGCCTTGTGATCTCAGTTCTCTAACAAACCTAAGAATTGTCGATTTTTCAGTTTATTCAGCCTTTTACTTGTTGTTAGGGCAGAGGGGCAACTTCTGACTGCCTATATGCCAGGTCGAAACCAGAAGTGTTCAGACAATTATTATTCATCTAGCTGAAGCTATGGTGGCCTCTGTCACCCACAGAAAGACACCCATTCCTGCAAAATTCAGTCTAAGTCAAGTTTGGGGCAAGAAGAAAGGGATGTTCACATTTTTGGAGCATTGGTTTGTACGAGGTAATTTGCACTCCTTACTTACCACAACAGTTCTTAGTGGAATTATCATCATCTCAAAAGAGTTATTAGCAAGTTACCAAAAATCACACATTAAGTAGAAGAACTAGAAATCCTTTTATTGGCTTGCCTTTGGAAGCTAAGAAGGGAGGCAGGGAATGTGCTCCCCACTGGGAAACCTGTTGTATAACCCAGCAAATTACTCTTTGCTTAATTTCTTACCTATGAAAGAGAGATAATAATTCCTATTTCCTAAAGATGTTGTGAGGAATTAGTGAGATAATCAAATTAAGAAACTGAGCACCATGTTTAGTATGTATTAAGTGCCCAATCAGTGCTAAAAAATATTATATGTACCATTATATCACTCTCATCAATAACTTCTTGCTTTGTGACATAAGGAAAGAGAACTTAACGCTTGTGAAAATAGCTTCTGAATATGTACATGAGATGTGTAGCCAGCCATTAAATTGGAGAGTGGTCAGGTCTATCTGCTTTATTTGTGACATGTATTAATTGAAGACAGGGAAAAAAAATCCCAGCCCACGTTCACCTGGCTTTCAGCCATTGCAGAGGAGCTCTGATGAGAGGTGGGAGCAAGTTTCAGACATTACTCTTCTAAAAAAATAAAGCCTGATTAGAGAATTGGATCATTTGCCAACTCTTTTGGAACATTAAAATATAGCAGTAGAGAGAGTTCTTCTGCTGAGAGGAAAATGACACAGATACATTTCTTTGCTGTTGTTCAAACAGGAAATATATTTAACTTCCTGGCTGTGGTGTCCTTGGCCATCAGTCCCTTTGGTTTCCTATGGGTTAAGGGATAGAGACACAGGCAAATTCTTGGGCAAGATAACTCATGTAACTTCATTTCTATTGCATGTAACTTTTGACCACAAACCTTTCTTTAATTAATCGCTATTTTGGATCCGTGGGTAAGGAAGAGCTAAAGGACCAAATTTAATGTATGAAAGCTGTAGGCTACTACGATTTATCACGGGATATATGTTACTGTAAACATTTCTCAAAATGATTTATAATTCTAATTTTCAGGACACATTAACAAAGGCTACAATTAAAAATACCTGAACAGAGAAATGTTTTTAGATTTTAATTACCTGGTCTTCATAATCAGACCCTGTGTCAATCATCTCTCCAGAGTCCAACATCATCGAAGGATCAAGGTCACCGGAACCTAGGATTAGGAAAGAAAAGACTGCCTGATGGAGGCTGTCTGTGTATGTCTGTAAAGCAAACAATCTCCCACTAGGTTTCCATATTGTCCTTATGATTACATTAAATTTGCAAACATTTCCAGGCTCTTCCCATCTGCCAGGAACTGTCTGGCCTGCAGACAGAAAATGCAAATGCTGTGGACACTGTCTCCACCCTTAAGAAAAAGACAATCTCGTGAAGGAGATGGATTCATCAAAAGCAAGGTTCAGAAACCAAAAAGAAAGGGCTACTAATTCTGACTAGTAGTGGAGGTGACGGTGGAAGTGGGATTCTTCATGAGGAACTGATCCATGAGCCTGAACTGTGAGGGTGGACAGGGTTGTCCAGGAGGAGAGCAGGTTAGGTTGTACACTAGAAACTGAGGTGGAGAGAACATCATGAGAAAACTCCAGAGTGGGGGAAGAGCAAGAGCTTCCTAGAAATAAGAAATGCTGAGTTGGCTCAGTCCATGAAAGCCTGAGCTTTTCCTCCAGCCTTTGTATCACCTTAGTCCCGGAAGGTGAGAAAAACCAGGTCAACTTAAGGTATTAATAGGTTTTTCCCTCCCTCAGTACTACTGGTTACATTGAATTGCTTACCCGGTAATCCCCAAAGGCTCAAACTTAAACTGGTAATTTTCATAATGGGGCTCCCAGAGCACAACTGATTCACTGTCCTCATCTAAGCACCCTTTCCTGCTGGGAAATGCAGGGGTGGGCAGAAGTAGGTCTACAGTTGTCATACAAATAAATAATACTGTAATAAATAATAATACAAGAATAAAACTCACAACTGTAAACCTACTTTTGCCCACCCCTGTAGTTATCACCTAACTAGCCAGAAAGACAGAATTCAGTGCTGCCTGTAAAACGCTATGCACCCTATAAAAAAATAAACAAACTACCCCACGTTTCATTTTAAACTTGGCCTTGCCAAATACTTCTTGGCCACAGTATGCAATGAGTAATGTTGAATGAAGATGGATTTTTAATAAAAACGTCAAGCACCGTACACTCTTCTCAGGTATGGACCCCTCCAGGAGGCTGCTTTCCTACTTTCTCCCAAAAAGAGAATGAAGGTCAGTCCTCACATAGTCTTTTCTGAACCTTCTCTTTTTCTTTTCTTCTCATTGTTATGCTATTGTTTATTGTTTGTATCTTTAAAATTTTTTCAAAGGACGATAAAATTTTCCAAAATGGAGACACTTGACCTGTGAAACCATTTTGGAAAAGTAACTAACTGTAGAGTTGCCACATACGGTTGCATGGGTGTGTGCACAATTCTAGGCCCTTGACAATTTCATGGTTAATAAGGTGATCGCTAGAATGGAGTGTGGGAGACTATGTACCACACGCTATAAACAGAGCGAAACTAGAAGGGTGATAAAAAATTTAATTATATATATAATTCTTAAAAGTGGGATTATATATAATGACATTATCTTTGTGCTTCTGGTATTTTTCAAATAAAAAAATGTAAAAGATGTGTCTTAGGGCCAAGATCCTTGACTGTCTCAAAGCCCAGTTTAAAGACCAGTTGGCACATATGCGTTGTGAGGCAGTGAAGATGTTAGAAGTAAAATGCATTATTTTTCCATTATAAGAGCCCGGGCATCTTAGAACCAATATTTCACAGAATCCCACCCCCTCATTTTAGAAAAGAGAAAAATGAGCTGCAGAAAAGTTAAATTACTTGGCCAAGGTCATGCAGAAAGTGAGTAAGCTAACGACAGAAGGCATAGGCCCCATTTCTCCTAACACAGCCTGTTGACTCCAAATTCTAACCAGGAGCCATCCCAAATGGCTTCATAAATATGATCTTTCATTCTAGTCCTCGACAGGAGAGGACCTGGAGGATCTGCCATCTCTTCTCCATTCTGAGAAAATGAGGAGCAGTGAATGGCTGAAGATGAGGCGTGTCCCTGGGTGGCTGCAGAACTGAAGGAATTGGAAGTAGAATCAAAGACTGTCGCTCTAGCCTGTGGCAATCGAGGGGCTGCTAGTGACAGCCTCATTCAAGGGATGGCAATTTTGTTTAGTTTTCACTACTTTCACAGTATGGATAGTATTTACCACTGCCTCGTGGAAGTGGTGATAGGTACTCAAACAATTCCCTCATCTCGCATATATATTTACAGTGATTCATATGAAGTGAGAGGCATGATATGAGCACAAAGGCTTGTTAAACATATAGGTGTTTCAGTTCCTGTGTCCTACTTACTGTATTTAATTAGAAACTGTTCTTTTGGTTGCTTAACAAAAGTAAAAAGTGAAGGGCCTCATAAACAACCCAGTTAAGAGATATTATACATTATTATTTGAAACTGGAACAAGATTATTAGAAAATGATTTTCACTGAGAGAATGAAGAGATCTTCGTTTTTTTAAAAAACCAACCTGTGCTTATAAGGAAGAAAAGATTGGCTTTCCCAATAAAATGCTTATAACAGGAATTTTATTGTATGATAAAGGGATGGGATTTCTTGACACACTGTTGCTCTTGGCAACAGTACGAATATACCATAGAAAGCAATAGACAAAGGATATCATTATCAGCTCAGATAATGACTGAATAGCTTTCATTTTCTTTTGTATTGGTTGCTTGGTTTGCTGAAAATGGGATCTTGAATAACAGTCTAAGGTCTGACATACAAAATAGGAAGGTAAATATAGCCATATGCACACATTTTGCCTTCTTTCGTTGGACAATTTAACATATGAAACAACTTCAACGAATGATCTTGTTACCCAAAGAAGAGAGCAAAATTAGGACATCTGACAAAAGTGATAGTATGGCTTTTATTTCCCCCAATTTTGAATTTCTTGATTTAGTTTCATCTTTAAAAATATCCTTTCTATAGATAACAGAGAAAAATATGAGCTGAAATAAAACCCCATAGGGAGCACTCAGTGTCACCAGACTTAGATGCGGAATGGTCTTTGGAAGTAGTATTTTCAGGTTGTCTCCTTAAGCGGGGAGATGACACAAACTGGCTTTAGAGGTACCAGAAGGCTAACACACTGCTTTCTGGGATAATGTCACAGACGTTTTCCCTCCTAGAGGATCTTCAATCGGAAGTTTTAGAAAAGTCCTCCTCCCACTTTGAGTACCAAATAAAAAACCACTCCCTCCAGGCAGGGCTCACTGGGCAGTGAAGGGCAGGTAGACCGAACTCCTCCAGCACTTCACCTGCCCTGTGAGGAAAGCAGTCTCTCCTGTCCTGTCTCTTCCACTAAACTATGGGCAGCTTTGGGTAGAGCGTATTTCATCTCTGATTCTAAGAAGGATACTTCGAAATTCTATGCATTCCATATGTAGGTGCCCAAGGACTGAAAAATGAGTAAAGGGACATTTACATTTTACTTTTGCAGATCTGGGACCGTCTTCATTTGCTCCACAAACATTAAAGGCTCAATGAGTGCCTTAGGCATTACCACCGCCTCCAGCATCCAGCTCTAATTCCATCTAATTCCAACAAGTGTGGAAAGTGTTAGTAACAGGAGGGAGGAAGAGAGAGAGGGAGAGCAGGAACAGACCCAGGGGAATGGGGAAGAGCTGTATTGTGTAAGACGTGGTCTGCCTTGTGACCTCTCAAATCCTCAGCAAAGATGCTAACATATGTGTAGTCTTTTCAACGTGACGGCCACATGCTTTATACACATAAACCTTTTACTCTTTTTTTTTTTTAACCTGAAACTAATGCATTTTATTTTATGTTTTTTATTTATATTTTTAATTGTTCAAAATATTACAGATGTCCCTTTTTCTCCCCATCAACCCCTTCCACCCCGCCACCCTACCCTCCTTCCCAGTCCCTCACCACACCATTGTTTGTGTCCTTGGGTCATGCAAAACGGTTTACTCTTAACAACAACTCTCTGAGGCCCAGAGAGACTGAGTGCTGGAGCCAGGTGCCTTTGCTAGAAGGATTAATGGAGGGCTGCAGGGAAGGGGAGACACTGCAGATGGGCTGGAAGGGTGCAGAGGTTCAGGGAATGGCATGGAGGCAGCAAATGTACACTCTGCTCTGGAGCCAAAGAAAATTTTGGTGTGGCTTTGAGTCAGCATACTCCAATGAGTGGCCCAGATGAGGTGACCAGAAGGGAAAGGTCTTATATGCCGTCTCCCATGAGATTCACACTGGATATCAAAACACACACACACACACACACACAGAGTCCTTGTGAAATCTTGCACTCTGAAAAGGGAAACAGATTCTTAACAATCATATTTCTAATTATATAATCACAATTGTGATAAATACCCTGAAGGAAAAGTTTGGGGTACCACTCAAGGGCCTAATCTTCTCTGCGATGGGGCCTGAGAAAGCTTCCTGAAGAAATCACATTTAATCTAAGATACAAAGTAGGATCTGACCAGGTGGTGGACGGGACTAGGAGTTGAGAGAGTACAGTGACGCAAAGAGGGCCAGGCACTTCCAAGTAACTTGTGCAAATGGCCAGAGGCAGGAAGACACCTGAGGTATCCAAGACCTTGGTGGAAGCTGGTGTGGGTGTTGGGGGAGGTGTTGCCTTAGAGGGAACAGGACCACTGTAGGAAAGCTAAGGATATTTTCGCCAGGTGAAGGGCACTGGTACTCAGCCTGCCGGGAAGTCACTGAAAGTTTTACTTTGTTTCATTTTTTTTTGTCAGGGAGGCAGGGTGATCAGAGCTGCATTCTCTGAGGATCCCCATGGCAACAGCAAGATTTACAACAGACAGGAGAAGCCAGGGATGGGCAAGGAATGACACAGCCTTCGATGAGTGCAGTGGGGATTCAGAACAAGGACTGGACTCCCAAGGTGTCCCTGAGAACTGATGATCAGTGTGGGCTGTGAGGGTAGGGGCATTTTTGCCTGACTCTCTTAAGAGAGAAAGACTACATGATCTCATCCATGTGTGGAATCTAAAAAAGTCAAGCACCTAGAAGCAGAGAATGGTGGTTACCATGGGCACGCAATGGGGGAAGCAGGGAGATGTTTGCTAAAGTTGTACAAAGTTGCAGTTAGGTAGGCTGAGTAAGTCTATAGGTCTAATGCAGCACGATGACTGTAGTTAACAATGCTCTTTGAATACTGGAACTTTGCTAAGGGAATATATTTCGGGTGCCATTGACCACACACAGAAAAATGGTAATATGTATGTCAACTAGTTTGGCTGTAGCAATCATTTCCCTATGTAGTTCCCTAGGTACATTATAAGTTGTCAAATCATCAGGCTGCACATCTTAAATATATACAATTTTTATTTTAAAAATCTAAAAGAATTGAAAGGCATTCACATGGAGGTGATATGAGAGCCGCAGGGAAGCTGAGATGGTTCAGAGAGAAGAAAAGAGTAAAGGGACAAGACCTGGGGGCCGACAATTCAGAGCAGAGGAGACTTGTTTAATTGGGTGAGTCACCTCTGACGTTTCCATGCCTGGAGATTTCACCTACAAATGCAGGTTTCTGTTTTCTCTTGAAAGACAGAAGGATCTAGCAACACTGGCCCATTCCTTAATGACAACAATAGCTTGGAGCAGCGAAGCGGCTGCCTCCTGTAGAGGAGGCATCGTTTATTTCTAGTTTACCACAGTCCCTCCCAGGCTCACTTCACTCACCAAGGGCTGTCAGAGACAGAACAGGCTCATATGAAGACAGGAGCAGAACGCAGCTCTGAGGACTATGGAGTGGAAGGAGCTACTGGGAGTTGCAGCCATGAGCACCAACACCCTCCGTGAAAAGCAGGGAGGTGCAGAAAGGAAAGAGTAGGCCCCTTGAAACCTCTGCTAAAGGCAGGCACTGTCCTCAGGCAGTTTACCAACCAGCACAGAAGCCTGCACAGCTTCTGTTATTGCGGGACGAGGGCACCTTGGAAAAATGTCACTTGAAAGCCACAAAATGCTGCATTTCTAAACAAACGGCAGCCTGAATCAGTTCCTCCACCCCATCAGCAAACCGAAGAGATCCAGCAACTAAATATTTATTGTTAGAGGCCTAATAAGTGTTCTAAATAAATATTAACTTAAAAATCACAGGTGTCATAGCATTTTTCAGAGCAGCAGCAGTCCTGTTTACCTGATCTTACGTGTTTCTCAATATCTCATCTCTCCCTGCAATAGGCCTTTTTGTAAATATCACTGCAAAATTAGGCAGATGAGTTTTCCTCAGTTATCTGTGCTCTGTGGGTCTGCCCAGAAAGAGTACTGCCTTGCCTTTTTATCCTGCCTTTCTTTGGAGCTACTCTTAGTGAACTTTAAATATGGTTTAAATTTTTAAGGGTTTAGCCTTTTTCTTCACAGCCCAGAACGTTTTGGTCTTTACCCACTGAGGCCATAACTGAGACAGAAGATCAGGACCAAAGATTTGAGAGTCATTCAGTTAGCACTGATACTCAAAGCCAAGAGAGACACTGAGTTGACCCAGACAGTAAAGAAGGGTGAATGAGGGTCAAGGACAGAACTGTGAGAATTGCCTTCTAGGGGGGTATGATTGCTCTGCATGACCCTCCAATGTCAAACTTCTAGGTGAGGGTACTGGGAAGAGAAGGGGCAGGGCCACAGCAGGGGCTGTGGGTCAGGTGGGAGTGGCTCTCAGATCCAAGAGGAGACAACTGAGAGATCTGTATGGGTTAGGGAGTCCTGGAAGAATTATAACTTTGAATTATTGAACAAAGTATATGCTGATTAGATTTTTTTCAATTATCGTAACATAGGTCTTATGTTACATTGTGACTACCTGCTAATTTACACATGTAATGACTGGAAGAAAGGCAGTAACTATCAGGGCCTTCTTTTCTATTTTGTTTTGTACCTTTATTTTTAGACCAGAAAGTATAAAGCTCTGAGGACAGTGTTATCCTTAACACCTTACAGCAATCTGTTGAGCCCCAACCTTACTACAAAGCCCCAGGCATCTGGCAGGTGGTCAGGACACACTGTTGCTCGAAGGACACGGTGACTTACTTGCTGCAGCCTCTTTGTTTGGAAACAACTTGCTGTCCACCGCCATGCTGATGTCATAGAAGACCTCATCCTGATCTCGGTCAGCATCGAACTGGGGGAAAACCAGGACACACAAGCCGGGAACAAGAGAACACACAAATTAGTTCATTCCAAAAAATAATGAGCATGCTTCACACAGCTGTATTGCTAATGAAGCAGAATTATAGCCCGGGAATTATAGCCCTTGAGTCTTTAATCAGACTCTTAGAGAGTTTTTTAGGCCAGGCCTTGTATCAAATAGAAAAGAGTGTTAGGAAGTAAATCATCACTGCAAAATTAGGCAACAGTATGGTCAATTATGGTTAAAAAAAAAGTGCAGAATTTTCTTAATTTATCAAGTAAGCTTGGAAAAAAGGAAAACTGAAATCTGCCTTGTGTCTTTCTGGCTCTTAGCTTTGTTTGCTTTTTTTTTTAATTAAAAAAACTCATGAAAATATGTAGTTTTAAACAACAGGGGGAAAGATTTTTTTTCATGCATTGTCCAAAAAAAAGAAAGAAAGAAAGAAACTCCAAACCAAATTTTAGTTACCATTCTAGATACTGTAGATACTATACAATAGATGTAGTCTATAGACACTAGAGATTTAGATGTAATATAAATTACAGATTTAAATATTTAACCATTCTCTAAAATTTACAACATTTTAAAGAAAACATGTGGTTATATTTATAAGTCCCCTGTTTTCCAAGCTGTGCAGTGTTTTTCTAAACACACTTTTCTCTCTTTAGTTTTTAAAAATAGCTTTACTGAGTTATAATCAACATACAATAAACTGCACATATTTAAAGTGTAGAGTTTTGACACCTGTATACATCTGGAAAGCCACAATAAAATCAAAATAGGGGACATATCCATCACTCCAAAAGTTTCCTTGTACCTTTTAGAAATCTCTTCCTCCTGCTCCCTATCAGGTAGTCGTTTGCTTTCTGTAACTATAAATCATTTGCCCCTTCTAGAATTTCATATAAAAGAATTTTTACAGCAGGCAATCTTTTTGTCTGATTACTTCACTCAGCACAAGTACTTTGAGATTTGTCAATGTCGTATCCATAGTTCATTCCTTTTCATTGCTGAGTAGTGCTTCATTGTATGGCTATACTGTTAACCCCATCCTGGGTATCTTTCAGCTCAGACATTGTAGTTTTCATCTTTAGATGTTTGAGTCTTTTTTTTTTTTTTTTTAAATCTATTGATTTCAGAGAGAGGAAAGGAAAGGACGAGATAGAAACATCAATGAGGCAGTCATTGATGGGTTGCTTCCTGCACGGCCCCCACTGGGGATCGAGCCTGAAACCTGGGCATGTGCCCTGACTAGGAATCGAACCTCGATCTCCTGGATCCTAGGTCGATGCTCAACTGCTGAGCCACGCCTGGCTGGGCTGATTTGAGTCTTTTAAAAAATATCTTTGTTCCTATTTAAGATTTGAGTATCTCAAATACAGTTATAGTAACTTTCAGTGTCCTTCTCTGCTAATTCTAACATCTAGGCTAAAATGCCAGTGGTGCCAAAGTTGAGAAACCCTCACCTCCATTGAGGCTCTCAGCTTTTAGGTCTAAACAGTGTTCTGAAACTCAAGGAGCGATACTTTCTTTACTTTTTTTTTTTAAGGTTTTGAGCTGTAAAAATGCATGCTGTTAACTTCAAAATACAAACGACAGCAGGGGGTAGCATAGGTAAAAAGGGCGATGAAGGTTCTAGGAACAAAAGTTTATTTTCATTTCATGAGGCAGACACAAGCTGCAGTGGGCAGATATAACGGTGTGTCACTAGACCAGATGGTGTCTGAGGTGGCTCCCCGCTCTGAGATTCTGCGATTGGACAGGCATGTTATCTTTTCAGTGACTGTTATGTAATCTCTAGCAATCTTAACAAAGTTCTCTTTATTCTGAGAAAAAGAACTCACTAAGGACAAGGTCTGCATAATCTGTTTTATGTCACTTAATGTAAGAGGTCTGGGGAGGTCAACTGAAGATTTCAAAATGCGATGCTTATCAAATTCCCTAGTTAGCTCACAGGTATAATTTGAGTAACAAATTTAACAGTTTTCAAAATCATACAAAATAGGTCGATTAGGAAAGGAAATTATAGTATAGGGAGTAGGACCCATCTGAGGCGCAGGAGACCAGGACAGTGTGCATTTTTATCCACAGAGATGAGTGTTTTTGGTTTTCTGTTGGCTTTCAGGCTGCAATAGTTGCCCAAATCTCCACAGGGAGAGGGCTTCCTGCGTTCTCACCTGTTAGGAGGTTAGGTCTATAAAATGCCCTAAATACATCTGAAAGGAAGACTATCAGTTCAACCTCTCTTTCCAGATTCTACTTTTTATTAAACTTAAGACTGTCTCCCATTTTTTCTCTGTCTCATCATTTCAGAAGGAAATAAATTAGCACTGTTATTAGCCTTGCCTCAGTTTTACATATCCCATAAGTATCATTTCTCTGAGCATCAAATCAGTTTCCTGAATTTTTTACTTCTCCCTGATTTCCAGTAAGGGATTTCATCATTTGCTACCAGAGATCCCTCAACATGCAAATAACTTACCCTCCAAATTTCCTTTTTTATAGGTTTAGAGACTTCCCGTTAAATGATTGTTTGTATTCTCTTTACAGTGACTTTCTTTTCCTCCAACAAAAATTGGAGATTGCACTAAAATAGTAATAATTTAAAAATGGAGTGAAATCTGTAGTTATCAGCAGTGGAGTAATGATAGTTAACATTACTCTGCAGAACCAAGTTCCTAAAGCTTCATAATTAATCACAAAATATGAAAGAGAAACACCTAAGTGGGTTTGGTGGGGGTGGGTAGGGACAATCTTCTGTCTTGGAAAAAGGCAAGTCAATCCCATGTTTGGATGAGCAGATTTCTTGTGGAATGGCCCTGCGGAACTGAGATGCATAGAACATATTTCCCAACAGAATGAAAGAAGGGCAAACTGTGAAGGAAGATCAATCTGAAAAGAGAGATGACTGGTATGCAAAGCGATGAGAACAGAACACTAGGAAGCTCTGGATATCTGAGTAAAAGTTATTTTTCTCAGCTCCTCGTACAGAATCTTTCCTTCACTGGCTATTTGGGTTCTACACAGCATCTAGAGATTTTGTCGGGAAAAAGTCAACACAATGAAGAGATTCCAGAGAAAATGGTCACAACAGTTATGACATGTTTAAGGAAAAATTTCTTCCTTAACTTGAAACCTTAACAATGTAATAATGACTGACTTATCCTGCTAGAGAGACCTAGAAAAAAAGGCTAAATCCAGGTAATTTTGGTTCCTCTTACAACACTAGCTCCGAAGATGTTTTTCAGGCTCATCTGTGCTCAGTAACAAAAGGGCGCTGAATGAAGCACAAGGAACTGTTACTATTTTAAAAGCGTCTCTTATGTGTCATGCTTTGTTAGAGGTTTTCTTTATACACTTTTATCACTCAGTCCCTACAATATTATTAAGAAGGGCTGTCATTATCCCCAGATTCAAGCACTGAGCCTCAGAGATTAAATAACTTGTCCAAGGTCATGGAGGTGGTTGAGCCCAGGACCGAATCCACATCTGTGTACATCAAACTGTGAGCCCCACCCCCCACCCTGGCTGTCAGCGCCAGCTGCCAGCTCCACTGGGCAGTCTAGCATCTTAGTGGGCACTTGCAGAACAAATTGCTGGCTTTTAGGAGCACTCTTAGGACAAACCTCTAAGAATCCTCAGAAGCCAAGCCAAGCCAGGTCCAGATGCAATATACTCACATATGCTTGACTGTCTTGGAGCCCCCGTAGGTGATTTTATTTCTCTGTTTGATGTGTGTACCATGCTGGGTGGCTGCGGCTGTGGCTGTGGCTGTTGGCAGAGGAACCACCCTGCAGGCTGGAGCATCAGAAGGAGCAAGAGCAGGCAACGAGGCAGGAGACATCCCAACTCCAAACAGAGATCTCCCTGGGGAGTCTTTAGATTAAAGCTATCCATTTCACAAGGACGCTGGCCACTGCCCCCCAGCCCTCTTTATCTACTATTGATTCTGGCTGTCCCTCGCAGCAGCCTTCTAAAACTCCTCTCTGCAGACAGCGCTGCCTTTTCGTTTGTTGAGAGGACTGAAGTCATCTAGAGTGGATTCTGGTTTTCTCCTTGTATCACCGTTCAATTCTCCCTCGGCAATCCGCGAATGAGTCGGCCTGCCCTCCAGCGAAGGGCCTGTCCGGCGTTAGGAGAACAGACTTCTGACCTGGGTCCATCTCTGGTTGGCAGTTCCCGCAGCACCAGCTGTGGTTCTGCCCCCGGGCTCCGTCCACAACGCCTGAGGCCTGGCCTGGCCCCGCTGCGTCTCCCACATCCCAGCCAGGGCGTGGGCTCTGCCTCTGTCTGAGAGGCAGCATCCCAGACTCCTTTCCCTGGGCTCCTTGCTCTGGTTGTCTCATTAAGGGATAGTGGATCCAAAGCCAGCCCACCCATAACAAGAAAGATGCTAGACCGCAGGTCATGGCATAAGGTTGCTGATGAGGGAAAATATTATCTATTCCTAAATAATCCAAGTTGGTGGTGAGAACTGGGATCTGGGACAGTTCTTGAGTTGAAAGGTAGGCAGTTGCAGTAGCTGATTATTTAAAATTTTCAGTCTCAGGTAGAGACCTAGACAGATATTCTCATTCTGACCATGTCTCGGTCATTTACGGTTATCAAGTGCCCAATGTTTTGCTCACTGAATAGTGGACACTGTGATAGAACACATTCAAAATTAAGTGGCTGCATATGGAATGTAAAAAACAAACAAACCCAAATTCACAGAAACAGAGAGTAGAACGGTGGTTTCCAGGGACTGGGGGGTGGGGGAGGATGATGGGGAGGATGATGGGGAGATGTTGGTCAGAGGACACAAACTTCCAGTTATAAGAAAAATAACATTTGGGGACCTAACGTATAGCATGTTGACTCCCGTTAACAAGACTATATTATGTATTTGAAAGTTGCTGAGACAGATCTTAAATGTTAACACCACACACACACAAAGTAATTACGTGAGGGGATGAAGGTCTAACTAACTTCATTAAGGTAATCCTCTCACA